GGTTTTGGGAGGCCACAAGAGAGTCCCCCCCCCCCCAGCCACTGGCAGGGGGTGGGGGTGGGGATAGAGTTGCCAGATCCAGGTTGGGAAACACCTGGAGATTTGGGGGTTGAGCTTGGGGAAGGACAGGAACCTCCGTGGGCTTCAGTACCCTGGAGTCCACCCTCCAAAGCATCTGTTTGTTTCAGGAGAAGACGATCTTGGTCATCTGGAGATTAATTGTAAAAGTGGGAGATCTCCAGGTGCCACCTGGAGCCTGGCAACCCTGGCAGGTGATGAAGGCCCCTCCACTGACGGAGTCTAAGAAGCTGGCCTGGCCAGGAAGGCTGGAAGGGAGGGGGCATCTGATGGAGGGTCATCCATGCCTCCTGGGCCTGCGGAAGCTTCTGCCAAAACAAATTCATTAGTCTTTAAGGGGCTGCAAAATCCCTTTGTCTTTTTCAATACAGTCACTCCTGGGGCTGGATTATGGCTGTAATTCTGGGGGATCCCCAGGTCCCACCTGGAGGCTGGCATCCCTAGCGCCTCCTGCCCATCACCAGACCTGACTCAAAGCCCTCCCCCCCCACTCTCAAGCTTGCAGTGTTCCTGCCTGTCCTGAGAGCCAATTTGGGGGAGTGCTTAGGAGCTTCTCCACATGCAGCTGCTGGTGTGACCTTGGGTCACTCACAAGTTCTCTCGGAGCTGTTCTCTCATGAGCAGTCCTCGAAAGAGCTCTCTCAGCCCCACCTCCCTCACAGGGTGTCTGTTGTGGGGAGGGGGAGGGAAAGGCGTTTGTAAGCCACTCTGAGACTCCTTTGGGTAGTGAAGGGCCGGGTATAAATCCAATCTCTTCTTCTTCTCTCAAGAGCAGTTCTCAAGAGAGCTCCCTCAGCCCCACCTGCCTCACAGGGTGTCTGTTGTGGGGAGGGGGAGGGAAAGGCGTTTGTAAGCCACTCTGAGACTCCTTTGGGTAGTGAAGGGCCGGGTATAAATCCAATCTCTTCTTCTTCTCTCAAGAGCAGTTCTCAAGAGAGCTCCCTCAGCCCCACCTGCCTCACAGGGTGTCTGTTGTGGGGAGGGGGAGGGAAAGGCGTTTGTAAGCCACTCTGAGACTCCTTTGGGTAGTGAAGGGCCGGGTATAAATCCAATCTCTTCTTCTTCTCTCAAGAGCAGTTCTCAAGAGAGCTCCCTCAGCCCCACCTGCCTCACAGGGTGTCTGTTGTGGGGAGGGGGAGGGAAAGGCGTTTGTAAGCCACTCTGAGACTCCTTTGGGTAGTGAAGGGCCGGGTATAAATCCAATCTCTTCTTCTTCTCTCAAGAGCAGTTCTCAAGAGAGCTCCCTCAGCCCCACCTGCCTCACAGGGTGTATGTTGTGGGGAGGGGAAAGTTCACAAGGGAGATTGTAAGCCGCTCTGAGACTCCTTCGGGTAGTGAAGGGCAGGGGTATTAAATCCAATCTTCTCTTCTTCTTCTTCCTTCTCCACATGCAGCTGCTGGTGTGACCTTGGGTCAGTCACAAGTTCTCTCGGAGTTGTTCTCTCACGAGCAGTCCTCGAGAGAGAGCTTCCCTCAGCCCCGCCTACCTCCCAGGGTGTCTGTTGTGGGGGAGGGGAAGGGAAAGGAGTTTGTCAGCTGCTCTGAGACTCCGAGTGAAGGGCGGGCTATAAATCCAATCACCTCCTCCTCCTCCGGCCTGCTCTACCCGCAACCCTCTCCCTGGTGGCACTGGAGGAAGGGCAGGCAGCTGGGAGCACGGGGGTGGGGTGGGGTAGAGCACTAGTAAGGGAGGGCGTCAGCAGCAATAGGCCTTCCTAGGACCCCGGGGGCCCGGCAGCCGCCCCGCTTCAGCCTCTGTTGATGCCGGCCCTGGCTGGAACTCGCCACACGCAGTGGGAGGGGGGAGTGTGCCTGGGGCACGTCTGGGGTCTCCACTCCCTTGGGGCTGGGCAAGCTGGCGGCTGCCCCCTTTGGAATACGGTTCCTCAGCCTCTTTGTGCTTGCACCTGCAGGGCGGGCCTGCTGACCGGGCGCTACCAGACGCGCTCTGGCATCTACCCTGGTGTGTTGTACCCGGGGTCGCGGGGAGGCCTCCCATTGTCCGAGGTGACTGTGGCGGAGGTGCTGAAGGACCGGGGCTATGCCACCGCCATGGTGGGCAAGTGGCACTTGGGCGTCGGACCCAATGGAACCTTTCTGCCCACCCACCAGGGCTTTGACCACTACTTGGGCGTGCCCTACTCCCATGACCAGGTGAGCAGGGACGAAGGGAGGTGGGGGGTCGGTGCTTTGTGGGGAGGGAGGGTCCAGGGACGAGCGGGCCCACTGACTTGCGGGAAAGGACCCAGGGAGGCCGAACCGAGCGGCCCCTGTGATGCCGGCGGTGCTGGAATGGACCGCTTGGTTCTGACCCGAGCGAGAGCAACAGCGAGGATGGGTCTGACCTTGCCCACAAAGTTTATTTATTCATTATTTGTTTTCCCCCCCGAATTTTATTAAACTGTGGTTGAAAAAGTACTACATCAGTGTACATGACAGTATCAAAACTTTGGTCAAACCTCAGAGATATGAAGTTTAACAACACAATGCTTGTGATTTCTTATTACATAAACAGCACCTAGCTACTGTAAAAACCCCTACTCTGAAAAGCTATGCCCACGCCTTTTCAGCGAGGTTAAATCGGTAGAGCATATGTTCTTCAGCTGTCCATTTTGCAGGGAGGCTCCTCTTAAAATTATTATCCCATTAGTCGATAGGACACCTGGGCACATTAATCCAAACAAAGCAAGGCTTCACTGGCTCCTATCAGATAAGAATGCAGAGATTACACATTCAGTCGCTGAGTTTTGTGCATTAATTCTTAGATTGCGGGAATCGCATTTTAAAAGTTCTGAAATTCAGATTTCTGTTTTTGTATATTATGACTGGTTTTTTCATCTCCCTCACATATTATGCTTAATCTGTATTGTTGGTCTTAAGACCGTAATAATAATAAACTAAACACCTAGCGACTATGCTTTTTGGTGTGAAGTAAAAAGAGAAAATTCCATACATTTTAAAATATCAGGTTGCTTAATATTTACGCCTAGGCCTTTTCCCATGAAGGGCGACTATTTCTTCATAAAATTTGACGCAGGCACAGAATACTGATCTCTTGCTATGTCGTTTGTCCAAAATAAAATATTCCCCAGTTTATTCATTATTTATTGAAACCATTTGAGCTGCCTTACAGCTTACAGCAATAGAGCAATTACAAAAAACCAAAATAAAAACAGTATAAGTAAACATGGTAAAAAAAAAACACACATAAAAAAGGTCACCATTTAAAAACTCCCATCAGGACTGCCAATAAATAAGAGCTAAATCAGTCAAATGCAGTCCTCAATAAAAACTGTCTTCAGCTGCTTTCTAACGATTGGAAGTCGGGGGGGGGGCCAGGCGCACCACCCTGGGGAGGTCGTTCCATAATCATGGGGCCGCCACCGAAAAGGCCCCGTCTCGTCTACCCACCAGATGAGCTTCTTTGATTGGTGGGACGCTCAAGAGGGCCTCCCTCCCTGTGATTTTGGTGCCGGGGCAGGGAATTATGGGAAAAGGTGATCCTTCAGAGAGCCCGCTCACAAGCCACGTAGGGCTTTGCTGAGGTCTGTGTGGTTTCAGCCTCTTAGCCTGGCTTTAGCACCTCTTCTTCTCCCTGAGTCAACTGAGCAGGGGACTTGATTTAGCACTTTGGGGACCAGTGTTCCCCCTAAGCTGAGTTAGTGTGAGCTAGCTCACAGTTTTTTTAGCCTCCGGCTTGCACATTTTTTTCTTAGCTCAGGAAGGAGGACTCCCGAGCAAACTGATTTAGGCAGCAGCCAAATCGCTCGCTCACAAAGTAGAATTTTTGCTCACGAGACTCCATGGCTTTGAGGGAACATCGGCTGGAGACAGTGGGATTGTTGCGTGGCTCCAGGCAGGTTGTGTGTGGACCATGAGGACCATGAGGGACACGCCTCCTTTCCTCTCTTCCATTGCAGGGCCCCTGCCAGAACCTCACCTGCTTCCCCCCCAACACGCGGTGCTTCGGCTTCTGCGACCAGGGCGTGGTCCTCGCCCCCCTGTTTTGGAACCTCAGCATCGTGGAGCAGCCCATCTCCTTCCCCCACCTGGAAGCCCGCTATGATACTTTTGCCCGAGACTTCATCACCGCCTGCGCCCGCCGCAGCCAGCCCTTCTTTCTCTATTACGCCTCCCACGTGAGTTCTGGGTACAGCCAGGCCTGAGGCGGAGGGGAGGGGGGCAAGGGAACTGGGGCGAGGAGTGGTCTTCCCGCGAGGCCCCGGCCGGTGGGTGCTGACGTCTTCTCCCCTCCCCAGCACACCCACTACCCCCAGTTTGCCAGCCAGGAATACACGGGGACGACTCCCAGGGGGCCCTTTGGAGATTCCCTCGTAGAGTTGGACGGCTCTGTGGGGCATCTCTTGGAAGCGCTGCGGGACAGTGGGGTACGCGACAACACCCTGGTCGTCTTCACGTCGGACAACGGGTGAGTGTGATGGGGAGGCGGACTCCCCCCGCTCCTTCCTTGAGGCAGGACTGGGGAACTTGGGAAGGAGAGCTGGCCCCGAAGAATAAGGCCGTGCCAACTGCGTTGCCCTTGGGTGTGGGTAGGCATATGAGTGCCAGGAGGGCCGAGTGGCTTGTCTCTGGCTAGTGAGAACCTGCAGAGGCCTGAACAAGGACCAGGGGGACACCCCCCCCCCATTGGTTAGCTGTGATCTGGTTGCCAGTTTGGTGTAGTGGTTAGGAGCGCAGACTCTAATCTGGGAGAACTGGGTTTGATTCCCCACTCCCCCACTTGCAGCTGCTGGATGACCTTGGACGAGCCGTCGCTCTGTCGGAGCTGTGCTTGAAAAAGAGCAGTTTCTGTCAGAGCTCTCCCAGCCCCACCTACTTTCTTATACCAGTTTGGTGTAGTGGTTCAGTGCATGGACAGTAATCTTGGAGAACCGGGTTTGATTCCCTTCACTTGCATCTGGCTGGATGACCTTGGGCAAGCCGTAGTTCTGATCAGAGCTGTTTTTGAAAAAGAGCAGTTTCTGTCAGAGCTCTCAGCCCCACCTACCTCACAGGGTGTCTGTTGTGGGGAGGGGAAGGGAAAGGAGTTTGTGAGCCGCTCTGAGACAGCTTTGGGTAGTTCTTTATAGTTCTGTCAGAGCTGTCCTGTCTCTTTTTCATAGTTCTGTCAGAGCTGTCCTGTCTCTTCTTCATAGTTCTGTCAGAGCTGTTCTCTCAAGGGCAGTCCTCGAAAGAGCTCTCTCAGCCCCACCGACCTCACGGGGAGTCTGTTGTGGGGAGGGGAAAGGAAAGGAGTTTGTAAGCCGCTCTGAGACACCTTTGGGTAGTGAAGGGCGGGGTATTAATCCAATCTCTTCTTCTTCTTCTTCTCCTCGTCTAATTGAACTTGCAGGGTTGTCGGTCTAATTTCGATCCAATTTATTACAGCAAGAGCCAGTAAAACAGCACAGTTCTGATATAAGAGAGATTAAAACAGTAATAACCTGGCAACAGTATAAAAACATTAACAAGAGTTGTTACGTTCGAGTCCAGTCGCGCCTCGGAGACCCAGCAGATTTTTGGGGTGTGCACTTTGGAAAGAGTCCCAGCTCCCTTTGACTCCTGGAAGCTTCCACCCTGCAGAGCTGGTGGTTCTCTGATGTGCTCTTGGATGCGAGTCTAACTCTCCCGCTTCAGGCCAAGGTGGCTGCCCTGGGACGCTTGCCGGGGCGTGAGAAGGAAAGGGAGCCCTGGACAGCTGGCCTTCGGCTGTTGCAGGAGACGTCTGGTCTTGTTCTCACAGCCTAAAAGGACTGTTCATTGGCTCGGCCCTCTATTTCAGCAGGGTTTACTGCCCTCTTGTCTTTTGTATGTCCGTCAGTGTAATAATGCACTTTGTAGTTGGCGTGTTAGTTCATATAATGTTGCCATAGATATTTCTGCAAAAAACGGATTCTGCTTACATTCTTCAAGGTTGCTTTTGCATTTTGGGCTGATTATAGTGTCGGCCGCCTTCTCCTTCCTTGTTTGCTCGAATGTCCGTGTGACAATGTGTCACTCAGGCAGCCTACGTGCGCACGGGGGAGGACTGACGTGGATTACCCGCCCCAAATTGCAGGGGAGATCCGAGGTGCCGGTCTGTTCCAGATTTCTGGCTGGGGTGAAGGCACAGTTCAAACAGGGGAGCCGGAGTGAGATTATCAACGAGTCCCTCTTGGAGGGACAGTTCCCGAGTGAGCTCAAGGAGGCGATGGTCCGCCCTCTCTTAAAATAAACCATCTTTGGACCCAGCCGAATTGGCTAACTATCGGCCGGTGTCCAATTTGCCCTATTTGGGCAAACTTATTGAGAGGGCGGTGGCGTTACAGCTACAGAGCTTTCTGGAGGACGCTTCAGTTTTAGATCCCTTCCAGTCCGGCTTTCGCCCTGGTCATGGGACTGAGATGGCTTTGGTCGCCCTGACTGACGATCTCCGAAGGCATCTGGATCGAGGTAGTGTGGCGGCATTGCTGTTGTTAGATCGGTCGGCCGCGTTCGATACGGTCGACCATCAGCTGTTGACCCACCGCCTTGCCGACATGGGGATTCAGGGGCTTGCCCTTCAATGGTTTGCCTCTTTCCTACAAGGTCGGGGACAAAGGGTGGCTGTCAGGGACCGGCGATCCCATAGGTACCCCCTCGATTGTGGGGTGCCGCAGGGAGCGGTGTTGTCCCCGATGCTATTTAACATTTATATGCGCCCCCTTGCCCAGATTGCCCGGAGTTATGGGCTTGGGTGCCATCAATATGCAGATGACACCCAGCTCTATCTGATGCTGGGCGGCCGGTCGGACTCGAGTTCCAATGACCTTCACCGGGCGTTGGAGGCTGTGGCTGGTTGGCTCCAGCTGAGCCGATTGAAACTAAACCCGGCGAAGACAGAGGTCCTGGGCCTGAGTTGGACCGGTGTGGGGTTGGGGCTCCCTCTCCCGACCTTCAACGGGGCGCCTTTGGTGCCAGCGTCTAGGGTTAGGAGCTTGGGGGTGCTCCTGGATGCCTCTTTACCGATGGAGGCCCAGGTGGCAGGCACTGTCAAGTCAGCGTTTTACCATCTTCGGTTGGCTCGGCAGTTGGTCCCCTACCTTGACCGCGATGACCTGGCCACAGTGATCCATGCGATGGTCACCTCGAGGCTAGACTACTGCAACGCTCTCTACATGGGGCTGCCTTTGTCGCAGCTCCGGAAGCTGCAGCTGGTGCAGAATGCTGCAGCCAGGCTGCTGATGGGTCTTTCTCGGAGGGACCTTATTCAGCCTGTGCTGAAAGCGCTGCACTGGCTGCCGATAGCGTACCGGATCCGCTTCAAAGTGCTGGTTCTTACCTATAAAGCCCTATATGGCCAGGGTCCAGCCTACCTGAGGGACCGCCTTGCCCCACATGTTCCCCCAAGAGCACTACGGTCGGGGGCCCAAAATTTGTTGGTCATCCCGGGTCCCAAGGACGTTAAACTAGCTGCAACCAGGGTCAGGGCTTTCTCGGTGGCGGCTCCTACCTGGTGGAACAAGCTCCCGGGGGAGATCCGGGCCCTGCGGGACCTTATGCAGTTCCGCAGGGCCTGCAAGATGGAGCTCTTCCGCCAGGCCTTTGAGTAGGAGCTGCCCCCCATTATACCACCACCGTCAAGGTATCTTAAAGGATGCAACGACGAGGCCGGAGGAAGAACTGGGAAACTGTAGAAGATCCGATGCCATCGTCACTGGATATGTACACCAGGGGAGTACCATCTTGAACTGTGGAGTTACCATCTTGGATTTAGGACATTAGTAACTGGATTGAGTATTGTGGTTTTAATGTTGAATGTTTTATTATGTTTTTATATGTTTTATATGTGGCATGGCTAACGGCCTGCCCCTGTTAGCTGCCCTCAGCCCACTGGGAAGGGCGGGATATAAATATGAAAAATAAATAAATAAAAATAAGGATTCCCCCCCTCGGCCGTGGAAGCTCACTGGGGGACCTCGGGCCTGTCACGGACTCAGCCCGGCTTCCCTCAGAGAGCTGTTGTTGTGGGTTGTGTGGTGAGTAAGGACCGGCGGGAAGAGAGGAAGCCAACGGCCCCTGCTTCTCTCCTTCTCTCCAGCCCGGAGACCATGCGCATGTCTCGGGGGGGCAGTTCGGGCCACCTCAAGTGCGGCAAAGGGACCACCTACGAGGGCGGGATGAGGGAGCCCGCCATCGCCTACTGGCCCGGCCACATCGCTCCTGGTAAGTCCTGTCCGCTCCGGGCCTGTTGTTCACAGCGGCTGTGAAGCAGGAGTTTGGTGTCGTGGTTAGGAGCGTGGACTCTAATCTGGGAGAACCGGGTTTGATTCCCCACTCCTCCTCCACTCGCACCTGGCTGGATGACCTTGGGCAAGCCGTGGTTCTGATAAGAGCTGTTCTTGGAAAAGAGCCGTTTCTGTCAGAGCTCTCTCAGCCCCACCTCCCTCACAGGGTGTCTGTTGTGGGGAGGGGAAGGGAAAGGAGTTTGTAAGCCTCTCTGAGACTCCGAGTGAAGGGCGGGGTATACATCCGAACTCCTCCTCCTCCAGTTTGATGTAGTGGTTAAGTGCATAGTGGTTGAGAGAGCCGGTTTGGTGTAGTGGTGGACTCTAATCTGGGAGAACCCGGTTTGATTCCCCACTCCTCCACTTGCAGCTGCTGGATGACCTTGGGCAAGCCGTGGTTCTGACAAGAGCTGTCCTTGAAAAAGCCGTTTCTGTCAGAGCTCTCTCAGCCCCACCTCCCTCACAGGGGGTGTCTGTTGTGGGGAGGGGAAGGGAAAGGAGTTGTAATCCGCCCTGAGACACCTTTGGGTAGTGAAGGGCGGGGTATAAATCCAATCTCTTCTTCCTCTTCTTCCTCTGCTTGCAGCCAGCTGGTGTGACTTTGGGTCAGTCACAAGTTCTTTCTGAGACTCCTTTGGGTAGTGGAGGGCTGGGTATAAATCCAACCCCCCCTCCACCTTCTTCTCTCACTGTTCTTCATGTGTCTCAGCACAGAGCCTAAGCATGAGGGCTAGAAACAATCTGTCCTGTTTGCTGCTGGGAAAAGTGCTTTGTGTTGGGGAAAGTGCTGCTTATTAGTGCAACGGATCCACATGATCAGCCCCTCGATTGTTTATAAGAACCAATTGGTTCCCCTAGAGGTCCAACAGCCAGTTCCTGTGGAGGGCCAGCAGCAGGGCAGAGAGGCCGTGGCCTTCCCCTGATGTTGCCTCCTGGCTTTGGGATTCAAAGGCTTAGTGCTCCTTAATGTGGAGGTTCCAATTAGTCACCATAGCCATTCATAGACCTCTCCTCCATGAATGTATCTGTCTATTCCCTTTTTAAAGCTGTTCCTTTATATGCTTAGAGAGCCAGTTTGGTGTAGTGGTTTAGGAGTGTCGACTCTAATCTGGGAGAACCGGGTTTGATTCCCCACTCTTCCTCCACGTGCAGCTGCTGGTGTGACCTTGGGTCAGTCACAAATTCTTTCAGAGCTGTTCTCTCAAGAGCAGTTCTCCAGAGAGCTCTCTCAGCCCCACCTCCCTCACCGGGTGTCTGTTGTGGGGAGGGAAGGAGTCTGTAAGCTGCTCTGGGACTCCTTTGGGTAGTGAAGGGCGGGGTATAAATCCAATCTCCTCTCTTCTTCTGTATGAAGGGGGGTGGGGGGTGCAGTAGGGCTAGTATGCAGCGAATGACTGTTGTTTACCTGGGCGGGTGCTGTGCCCTCCCTCTGTCCTCCTTTCCCCTCCTGTCTCTGTCCAGGGGTGACCCATGAGCTGGCCAGCACCTTGGACATCCTGCCGACTCTAGCGGCTCTGGCGGGGGCGGCCCTGCCCAGCGTCACCTTGGACGGCTTCGACCTCAGCCCTGTCCTCTTTGGAAGTGGGAAGGTGAGCTTTGGGTTGGTGATGGGCAGTGGGTGGTAGGGGGACCCTTGTGGGCAGCAGGGGGGTGGGTGCCCCTTTCCGCCTGGCTGCTGTCCCTGAAGGGCCAGTTACACCTCTGGTCCACTTGGCCCTGCTAGGAATAAGAACAGGAGCCCTGCTGGATCAGACCAGTGAGGGTCCATCTAGTTCACCATCCCGTCTCACACAGCAGCCAAACCAGTTCCTCTGGAGGGACAACAACAGGGCATGGAGGCCGAGGCCTTCCCCTGATTAGAACATCCGAAGAGCCCTGCTGGATCAGACCAGTGAGGGTCCATCTAGTTCACCATCCCGTCTCACACAGCAGCCAAACCAGTTCCTCTGGAGGGCCAACAACAGGGCATGGAGGCTGAGGCTTTCATAAGAATGTCAGCCCTGCTGGATCAGACCAGTGATCTAGTCCAGCATCCTGTCTCACACAGCGGCCAACCCGTTCCTCTGGAGGGCCAACAACAGGGCATGGAGGCTGAGGCTTTCATAAGAATGTCAGCCCTGCTGGATCAGACCAGTGATCTAGTCCAGCATCCTGTCTCACACAGCGGCCAACCCGTTCCTCTGGAGGGCCAACAACAGGGCATGGAGGCTGAGGCTTTCATAAGAATGTCAGCCCTGCTGGATCAGACCAGTGATCTAGTCCAGCATCCTGTCTCACACAGCGGCCAACCCGTTCCTCTGGAGGGCCAACAACAGGGCATGGAGGCTGAGGCTTTCATAAGAATGTCAGAAGAGCCCTGCTGGATCAGAGCAGTGAGGGTCCATCTAGTCCAGCCTCCTGTCTCACACAGTGGCCAACCAGTTCCTCTGGAGGGCCAGCATGGAGGCCGAGGCTCTGGGATTCAAAGGCTGACTGCCTCTGGCTGTGGAGGCTCCCCTCAGTCCCCGTGGCTAGCAGCTGCTGATAGACCTCTCCTCCATGAATCTGTCCAATCCCCTTTTAAAGCTGTCTGTGCCTGTGGCCATCACAATATCCTCTGGCAGCGAATTCCACATTTTAATCACCCTCTGTGTAAAGAGGCATTTCCTTTTGTCCGTCCTGAACCTCCTGCCCATCAGCTTCATTGGATGCCCTCGAGTTCTGGTATTTTCGGACAGGGAGAAAAATTACAAGAATGCTTACAAGTTATGGGTGGAAGTTGGTGTGGGGAAAGTCCTGCATTGACCAAGGCTTGGGAGGGGGGAAGGAGGAGGGGGAAGTTTCTTGTGCCCTTAATGTTTGCAGGGCGGGCCAAAATTCCATGGGTGATGCCTTCCCCTCTCTTGCATCTCCTTGTTGTAAACAGCACCAGTTGAACTGCTGCCTGTCCTGAAGATTGTGCAGCCCATGGAAACATAAAAGTGGAACTCTAAGGGGTAAAGCAATTGTTTTGAGGAGGCCCATCCAGTCCAACACTCTGTGTCACACAGTGGCCAAAAACACCAGGTGCCATCAGGAGATCCACCAGTGGGGCCAGGACACCAGGAGCCCTCCCACTGTTGCCAGTTCCCAACTGGCCCCAAGCACCAAGAATACAGAGCATCCCTTGCCCCGGACTGAGAGTTCCTATCTATACCTTGTGGCTAATAGCCACCAATGGACCTCTGCTCCATATGTTTATCTAATTCCCTCTTGAAGCCGACCCTGGAAAGCTGTAAAGAGGGGCCGTGGCTCAGTAAAAGAGCCTCTGCTTGGCATGCAGAGGGTCCCAGGTTCAATCCCCGGCATCTCCAGTTAAAAAGGACCAGGCAGGAGGTGATGGGAAAGACCTCCGCTTGAGACCCTGGAGAGCTGCAAAGAGGGGCCGTGGCTCAGTGGCAGAGCCTCTGCTTGGCATGCAGAAGGTCCCAGGTTCAATCCCCGGCATCTCCAGTTAAAAAGGACCAGGCAGGAGGTGATGTGAAAGACCTCTGCCTGAGACCCTGGAGAGTCACTGCCAGTCTGAGTAGACAGTACTGACCTTTGTGGACCGATGGTCTGTTTCAGTATCAGGCAGCGTTAACGTCTGTGTTTGTGTGTTCCCATGATGCCTCTTCTGTGACTCCCCGTCCTTCTGCTCTGGTTCCAACGACAGAGCCCCCGCAAGGCCATGTTCTATTACCCGCCGGCCCCCAACCCGCTGCTCGGTGTCTTCGCTGTCCGTTATGGAAAGTACAAAGCCCACTTCTTCACCCAAGGTGAGCTCAAGCCCCCCCCTCCCTTGCTGGGCTGGAGCCTGATGCCCATGCCCTTCCCCTCTCCTCTCCATCTCTCTCTCTCTCCAGGCGCCTTCCACAGCAGCACGACCCCCGACCAGGACTGCAGCGGCCTGACCCCCCTGGTGGCCCGGGAGCCCCCCCTGCTGTACGACCTGGAGTTGGACCCGGCTGAGAACTACAACCTTGTCTGGGGAGGGGTGATCAAGCCAGAAATTCTGGCTGTCCTCAAGGAGATATGCTTGCAGAAGGCCACTTTCGACGAGCAGATGGAGTTCGGGGAGAGTCAGCCGGGGCGGGGCCAGGACCCCGCGCTCGAGCCCTGCTGCAACCCCCAGTGCCGGTCCAAGCCTTCCTGCTGCCGCTGTCCGTCTCCCTCTTGGCTCCGCCCGCTCCTCTCCCCCCCCACCGGAACCATCCTTTGAATTCCCGCCTCTTCGGCTTAAACTCAGGGTGGCTTTTCAGGTGGGGAGTCCCCATGAGACGAGGGTCAGCTCTTCTGCTCTGCCCAGGGAAGGGCTGGATTGTTAAGTTCCTCGGGGCAGAGTCTCTCTGGTCTTTTCTTTGGGGGTGGGTGGGTGCTGCTTGGTGCACTGATGGGGCCTTCGGAAGTAATCAGGCTGAAACGAGGCTTTCACCCTCCTGTGAGGAGAAGGGGGTATTTCGCTGGGTGATGGTGAATACCAGCCGTCGCCCTGAGAGTGTGCGTTTACGCAGTGTTTTCACCATGAGACGCTGGTGTGCCAAAATGCCCTTTTGGGTGACTCCCTTGGCTCAGACCGTGGCCCTACAGGAGAAGCGGAAGCCAAGGCTCAGGGCTGGGTCCGCTTTGGGAAAGATGTTTTATTTCCATTCCACGAAACTGTTCGCGGGTAGAGTTGGCCCCCGTTGGGAGGTGAGGACGACGTCGCGGCTGGAAGGCAGGCCCCAACTCCACCTCTGTCTCCGGAACCAGCGGGGTTTGAGTTTCCCAGAAGGACAGAGGCCTGGTGTGAGTGGGGGTGCTGGAGGAGAAACTGCCTTCTTTCCCCCCCCCCCGCCTTTTTGGTTATGGAACAAAAGCTTATTTTGCACCCTAGGCAAGGATCCCTTCTGACGCCCCCCCTGTGCCTGCCATTTTTCAAAAATAAATGCATTTTAGGAAGAATGAAAAACACAAATAATCAAAAAACTCTCAGAGTACGGGGCTGGGTGCAGTTTGGCACCCCTAAGGGCCGGCCCACCCTAGGCGATCGCCTAGTTTGCCTAGTGAGTGAGCCGGCCCTGCTGGTGCCAGCGGAAAGTCCGGCCTGTTTATTGTTTGCAGAACCATTGTTGGGGGTACAGCCCCCTTTGGTTCTGAGTCCAGAGAGCTAGCCGTGTCCATCCGTTGTCGCAAACATGACAGGACTCCGGGGTCACCAGACTCAGCGGTGGGAATTCTATCAGCTCTTTGGAGCCAGAGAGAGGAAAAGGGGGGGGGGGAACGAGGAAGTTGTGCTTCAGAGGTTTCGGCCGTGACCAGGGCTGGTTCAAGGTGTTTTGGTGGCCCTCTCCCCCCCCCCCCATGTGCACAGCCACACCTCAGACCCAGCCCAAGAGGGGCCGCCACTGCTTGCACTGTCCCAAGCAGTCCCTTGGTGGGGCCGTTTCTGTGAAAAATTGAGCAAAGTAGAGAAAAGCAAAGTAGCCGATCCTGGCCCCTGGAGTCGGAGGCATGTTGCAGAATTCAGTCTGAGATGCTTCAGGACCTTGGATTTCCTCGGTCGTCTCCCATCCAAGTACTAACCGGGGCTGAACCTGCTTCGCTTCTGAGATCTGTGGCGATCAAGTGAGCTCTGGGCGCTTTCTTCCTTGGAGGCGTCTTTTGTTGAAGAACGGCCCCCGTCAGGCCAGGAACAGAACCTTGAGGGCCTGGCTCTCTTGCCTCCATAACAAAGCTTTTGGAATGGTGCCATCTTCCACCGAAGTGCCGAGTTGGAGTGCCAACGGCCCAGGCCTTGGGGCACACCCTCCTGCATCAGGATGGATCGGGCGAAAGCAGCCGTGGCGTTCCAGTTGTGCCCTAAGTTTGGCGTAGTGGTTGGGAGCGTGGACTCTGATCTGGGAGAACCGGGTTTGATTCCCCACTCCTCCACTGACTCGCAGCTGCTGGATGACCTTAGGCAAGCCGTAGTTCTGTTCTCTCAAGGGTGGTTCTCAAGAGAGCTCTCTCAGCCCCGCCTCCCTCAAGGGTGTCTGTCTGTTGTGGGGAGGGGGAGGGAAAGGAGTTTGTAAGCCGCTCTGAGACACCTTTGGGTAGTGAAGGGCAGGGTATAAATCCAGACTCTTCCATGACAGCCAGTTTGGTGTAGTGGTTAGGAGTGTGGACTCTAATCTGGGAGAAACGGGCTTGATTTCCCACTCCTCCCCCCCACATGCAGCTGCTGGTGTGACCTTGGGTCAGTCACAAGTTCTCTCAGGGCTGTTCTCTCAAGGGCAGTTCTCTCAGAGGTCTCTCAGCCCCGCCTGCCTCATGGGGTGTCTGTGGTGGGGAGGGGAAGGGAAAGGAGGTTGTAATCCGCTCTGAGACTCCGCGTGAAGGACGGGGTATAAATCCAATCTCCTCTTCTAAATCAGCTGCAGCATCTGCCCAAAGGCCTGGTTGTGTGTGTGGGGGGGTTCCCTTTGGTGCTCTTTCTCTGTCGACCCCATGGCCTCTGTGCGTTTTTGCATCGCTTCTGTATGTACGACCGATTTTTCTTTTGTGCAAGAATGTGGGGGGTGGGGAGGAGGGTGCCCCTATTGCTGACCTCTCTGCTTCTTTCCTCTGGTCAAGAGACCCAACCTTGCCCCCCCCCAGCGCTGCCCCCTGACTTCCCTCCTTTCTTTCCCAAGCCTGGATTCCCTGGAGGTGTCTCAAATGGGGACTTCCTCCTTCTGCGGCTGAGAGTTCCTGCTAATAAAGGTGTTTCCTGGTTCGCTGCCCGGTCTCTCTGCTCTTTGGTCCTGGTGGGTACCCCCCACCCCGGGGGGCCCTTTTTGCACTCGAGGAGGAGGTGGGAGGTGTGCCGGTGGACTGCGGGGAAAGCGCAGAGGCGGCCCCCTCTTCCTCAAGCCCAGTGGCTGCCGGGGTGGGGCGGGACTCGTTGCAGCGCTGCTGCATCCCCCAATTGCCTGCACGGTCAGAGCTCTGCGCAGGCGCCTGAGGAGACCCCGGCAGAGGGACGATGGGTGGGGAGCGGCCAGCAGAGGGCGCCCGATCCTTGCCAATAAGATCTTGACCAGCCTTCCTGCAGACACTGGGAAGGTCTTAAAAGTAAAGAATTGGCGCTTTTGTAAAAGGGGCTGGGGTGGTGGTGGTAGTGTTCCCTCTAAGGCTCACACCGTTTTTGTCTTAGCTCAGGAAGGAGGGCTCCAAAGCAGTGTTCCCTCTAAGCTCAGTTAGTGTGAGCTAGCTCACAGTTTTTTAGCCTCTGGCTCACACATTTTTGTCTCAGCTCAGGGAGGAGGGCTCCAGAGCAAAGTAATTTATGCGGTAGCCAAATCACTCGCTCACAACATTAATGCCAGTATGTCACAAATGGGTCATTTCCTAGAAAAAGAGGTGCGGGAGTTTATTGTTGTTCAGTCGCACGGTCGAGTCCGACTCTTCGCAACCCCATGGACCAGCTCCCGCCAGACCAAGCGTGATCCACTGGAGAAGGAAATGACAACCCACTCCAGTATCTTTTGCCAAGAAAACCCCATGGACAGTAACAAAAGGAGTTTATTAGCATAATGTATTAGCATAACTCATTTGCATGTGCCACACCCCCTGACATCACCGGAAGTGTGTCAGAAGGCTCCACTGGACTGTTCTGGATTGCTAGCTATGGGGGGGCGGAACGGGCAGATCTGTCCTGCCAGAGGGGGTAGAGCTTGTCCCTGAATAAAACTTGGTCTTAAAGGTGCCACTGGACTGTTTTGGACCGGGGGGCTCTGCAACTTACCTGGCTGCACCTTGCTCTGACTGAGGGCTGCTGGGAGCAGGGGGTGGGGCTTGTTGCATGTGCCCGCCCCCTGGGCTCTTTACTACCGGAGCTCCGCTCCTGTGCGCTCTTGCAGGAAATGACTCCTGGTCACAAAGTAGAATTTTTGCTGACAAGGCTCCACAGCTTAGAGGGAGAGTTGGTGGGGGGATGGGACAAAATTTACTAAATCAGAGGAAGAAGATAAGAGGAGCCAGCCACTTCCTCTGGAGGGATGAAAACAACAAGCCGGGCATAGAGGCTGAGGCCTTCTCCTGACGTTGCTTCCTGGCGCTGAGATTTAGAGGTAGACTGCCTGTTTATAGAGAGGTTCCCTTCAGTCTGCCCATTTAAAGGCCTGCCTAGCAAGCTTATTGAAAGTGGGAACTCCTTTAGCGATGTGGGGGAGAAGCAGAGGCTGTTCCACCTGCCTGCGGCCAGAGACCAGCCATTTTGTCTCGCTCTACCTCCCCTCCCAGATATGGGAATGATAAAATCGGCCTGCCTTGCAGGACTGACGCATGGATTTCTGAAGAGCGTGAAGTGCTTCACAGGCTGCGTACAGAGTGGGAGGGATTTCACTCTCCCAACCGTCCTGATGCCGAGCCAGTTGGGCGTCGTGGTTAGGAGCAGAGTCTCTAATCTGGGGAAACTGGGCTTGATTCCCCACTCCTCCACATGCAGCTGCTGGTGTGACCTTGGGTCAGTCACCAGTTCTCTCAAGAGCTGTTCTCTCAGGAGCAGTCCTCAAAAGAGCTCTCTCAGCACCACCTGCCTCACAGGGTGTCTGTTGTGGGGAGGGGGAAGGGAAAGGAGGTTGTCAGAAGGGTGGGGTATAAATCCAAACTCCTCCTCTTCCTTGTGCGACCCCACTGGTCACTTCCCTCAATTGTGAGAACGATAATCTTATTCTTACTCTCTTCTTTCTGCTGTTTGGCCAGTTTTTCAATCCATTAAAGGGCCTATCCTGTTATCCATGACTGCCCCCCCCAATGCCTTTAAGACAATGAACGGATAAAAACCCAGCTGAAAAATGAAGACTGCACCAATGTTCCCTCTAAGCTGTAGAGTCCTGTGAGCAAAAATTCTACTTGGTGAGCTCCTGGCATTAAAGCTGTGAGCGAGCGATTTGGCTGCTGCATAAATTAGTTGGCTCTGGAGCCATCCCCCCTGAGCTAAGACAAAAATATGTGAGCTAGCTCACACTAACTCAGCTTAGAGGGAACACTGGACCACACCTCCTACCTGGTCCTTTTAACGAGATGCTGGGATAAGCTGGTTAAGTGTGGGCTGGATGGTGCAACCAGGGGTCATTCCATAGAAAAAGAGGTGCAGGAGCTCATTAGCATTACTCATTTGTATGTTGCACATCCCCTGATATCACCGGGAGTGTGTCAGAAGGCAACATCCACCGCTCAGGCTCCACTGGACTGTTTTGGATTGCTAGCTATTGGGGG